AGTTCAGATCATATTTAATCAAATATCTCTTGCTTGTAATATATATAAATTTAGATGTAACGTAAGAGAAATTAGATAACCTTTAAGCCTTACTCATCTATTAACCATAGTTCTCATTGTTTAGTCCAGTGTATGGCCTATTTTTTTTTTAGATCGGTTTTACATATTTTTTTCCTTTAAAACATCCCTTGAAAGAATATCCACAAAATGTTGGAAATTGCACTGAAGAGACCAGTAGCCTTGAGTCATAGAAAATGTATAGATAAGAGAAACTAGCAGAGTATTCTATTTGATTTTTACATCTTATTTTGAAGGATGTCTTCTGCATGTTTATTTTTTCATTACTTGTGTATTTTTTGTTGTAAATATGGTTTCAAAATGTAAAGCATTAAATTGCTGTGCTTTTGAAAAAGATACTTCAGCCAAACCAAAATTGAAGCAAAGTTGCAAACTTTTCTCTGCATGTGGTGTTAGCTTCAAAATATGTCATTACTAAAATAACAATAGCTTGGCAAAAACATGTTTAGCTATCCTACTTTTTGATTAAAAAGTTATATATAGGTTGTCTGAGTCAGGGAAAAAGTGTCAGTATTGCATTTCTCAGATACTTTCACTTAAGTAAATTAACACATTTTGTCTTATTGATTATAAGAAGTACTCAAATAATATTAGCACTCAGTATTTTTCAAAGATTAAGAAAATTATGCACAAGGTTATTGCAATGTAATCATTCCCTTGGAGTCCTATTTCAAACTAGTTGTGTGACTTGGCAAGAGATTTAACTTGTCTATATTTTCCTGTTCTTCCAGTAATATGAAGAGATAATACCCACCTTTCAGGGTGGTGGTGTGAATTTCAGATGATATGGAAGTACTCAAAAAAATTAAAGTTCTGTAAAAATAAGGGATTATGTTAACAACTGTACTAAAATATTAAAACAAAGCACAACAAGATAGCTATTCCTAGAGGCTCTGGGAAAATTCAGCTAAGGGATTTTGCCCAAAGCCTAATGGCTAATGTATGATGCTGGACCAGGCTGGAGCGCTGGTGTGTTCTGATGCCTAAACCAGTAGGGAAAGTGAGGCAGACCTCTGAAAATGTTTGATGACCTAAATGTCATACTTTCATCAAGAGCAAAATGGCATATTTAAAATACCTCAAATATCTAGAACTGTCGAGGGTAAAGGTGTGCCTCATTAGATGTTTCTGATAATAAATATCCTTTTCAACTCCAAAAGTAAAAGCTAAAATAAATAATAGAAAACTTTAAAAATATTTAACATGTAGCACACACTACTCTATTTCTTAAGGTGTAAAGCATGAGGTTCTAAAGGTTGCCTCATCTGGTTCTTAGCAAAGCTGCTTAGTAGGCAGGGATTCTTATCTCTGTCTACATAGGAGGAAACTGTTCGTGTTTCACTTGGTCTAGTATCAAAATCAGGATGAGAACCTGGCTCTTCTGACTGGGGAATGCAAGGCACCTATGGATTGTCAAGAATTTTCATAGTTGTCAAATTACTGTAAGGTTCCACAATGCAGTGACTTTTATTTATTTTTTTAGGTGCTACTGAGGGCACTTTGCACTCATTTTTATGCTATGCTTTTTTTTTCTTTTTGGTAATTCTGTCTGCTTTGGTTTCCCACTTTGCTCTTCATTGGCGGATTGTCAGCCACCAGCAATTCCTGCTGTTGCTGTAGTCCTGTTTGAAGGAGGCTTCCCTTACTTCTGGTTGGCAGCTACTGATGTCTGACAGCACAGCATTCCGCTGGATGTGTTATAATTTATAAATGAAAGTGCCAATGAGGATACCTAGGAGTAAATGAAGGGTTTGGAGTTTGAGCTTTGTGCCATCTACTTTAGTTCCTTTTGTGTTTATTCCTGGAGAATGAATGATCTTAGCACATGTTCCATATATTTTTTTACACGTAATTCAATTTTTATACAGGCAAATGAAAATTTCCGATCATAATGCAGTTCTACAAACGCAGGCTTGCCGAAATGTCATTTTATATATTATATCTCTATCCCAGATTTTTAAAATTCCACATTATAAGTCTCAGTTTGTAAAATGCTGATGTGCTGACCTATCAAGTTATTTATTCATGATTTTCAAAATGGCCGTGGTTGTCAGTATTGCCACATAGTTCATGAATTATTATTTCCTTGTTCACAAGTAAGGCAATAATAATTAGTTTCTAACAAAGTTTTTAAAAATTTAATGGACATGACCTCCTTTGGCCCTGTTTTCATTTACTTCTCAGTGCTAGCTTCTATTACTACTAGGGAAAGAGCTCTTGAACCTGCTAAAGTACTAAATATTTAATTATGTTCTTATCTGGTGTATTTTATGTCAGAATTGTATTGTTTGCCTAGTTGAGATGGCAATCTGTGGAAATACGGACTTTAATTCTCATATACATTCAGCTAAACTTTGGGGCCTCAGAAGATGGCTGGTCATTTGTGAAGTGGAAAATAGAAAATGAAAATATTCCCCAGTCCAACTCTTTTTTTTTCTTTAAAATCTTCCTGCAATTGCTAATTATTAAACAGACAAAAACAGTCTTCTTGAAAAGGCCCTGAAAATGGCATCTTATTCTTTTCCTTTCTTCATCCTCTCTAATACATCTAAAGTTGTTAAATATGCCCTGGCCGGTTTGGCTCAGCGGTTAGAGCGTCGGCCTGCGGTCCAGAGAGACCCGGGTTCGGTTCCCGCTAAGGGCATGTACTTCGGCTGCAGTTTGTCCCCGGCCCTGGTTGGTCGTGCGGGTGGCAGCCACTCGATGTGTCCCTTTCGCATCGATGTTTCTCTCTCTCTCTCTTCCTCTCTCTCCCTCCCACTCTATCTGTACAAAAAATGGAAAAATGTCCTTGGGTGAGGATAAAAAAAAAAAAAGTTGTTAAATATTAATTTAGTTAGTACCAATATGACATATAAAGTTAGAAATCTGGAGCTTATCATTTGGCAGCAAAGATAGACACACCCCTAAATAATTTAGATACTAAGCAGACTGTTACTTTTTTTTTTTTTTTTTTTTAATCCTCACCCGAGGATATTTTTCCATTTTTTGTACAGATAGAGTGGGAGGGAGAGAGAGAAACATCGACGTGAAGGGACACATCGAGTGGCTGCCACCCGCACAACCAACCAGGGCCGGGGACAAACTGCAACCGAAGTACGTGCCCTTAGCAGGAACAGAACCCGGGTCTCTCCGGACCGCAGGCTGACGCTCTAACCGCTGAGCCAAACTGGCCAGGGCAGACTGTTACTTATTATAATAGAACTTTGTGGGATACATTGTGAGGGGAAGGTGGCAACAGGAATTCTTATTGAGATAGGAAAGTCTGAGAAGGCTTCTTGGTACTGTTTGAATTGGGTCTTGAACGAAAATGTAGTATTTTGGATAAGTAGCATTCCACAGTGAGAGAACTGTATGAGTAAACAGTCCATAAAATACTTTTATTGACATTTTGTAGGTATTTTACATGTATTAACTCACTGGACCCAAACAGTCCTGTGAAGTACACACCCATATCCAAATTCACGGATATGAAAAGTGAAGCTTGGGGAGACTGATTTGCTCAAGATGATGCAGATGATGGGTTCTGGAGCAGGGAGAGGGGTGTCTGCAGGCTCAAAATCCGGAGGCAGGAGTGGGGCCCAGCCTCCTTGGGAAATGGTCAGTGGTGTGAAGCACAGAGCTGAGGAAAGGCTTAGGGTAGTGTCCCCCAAATTTGCCTCAACCCAGGCATCACTGGGGCACTTATTTAAAACAGAGATTTCCAAGCGGACTCCCCTGGACATTCTGAACCTGCTGAAGTGGGGCAAGGTATTAAAATCTGTATGTTTAACAAGGGCCCTAGGTCATCTTTCAATGAGGCAAGTTGGGCACACTTGATTAACCTCATTAATGTATAGTAGGAAATAAGGCATCAAACTCCTAATTGATGCTCAATTGTTTGTAGAATTGGATTAAAAAATCCAATCCTTTTAAAAAAGGAATCTACACAGATTATATTTCTGTTAGCATCACAATATTCATTTTATATGTGTGTGTGTATTTAACTTTTCCCCAATTGTTGAACATTAAGATTGCTTTCAGCTTTTCACTTTTATAAACTTAATTTGCATCCCGTATTTTCTTAGGTCTCTAATAGTTGAATCTAGTGGTTCAATTCTTGGTCGGCTTTGTTTAGTAGAGGATATTTACTTCATAGTGTGAATATTTAGCATACGATATGAATGCAACAAGTAATTAGAGCAATGGCTACCTCTCAATAAATGCTAGCTCTTTTGTACTTACAAAAAACACTTGGTGTAGGTTTTCACAAATGACAGGTAAAACTTACCTGTTTACACTTCCAACTTCAGTGAGGAGAACACGTCATCACATTACAAAACTTTGAGTCAGAAAATGAACATGCAGTTGATTTCACAACATTGCCACCTATGTCTACACTATCTGCTTGGGAGAAGTGCAGAAATGTTTGCAAATGCGAAACGGTAAGAAAACCAAGGAAACAAGGGCGCGTATTTACATTACATCACACTGACCCCTGAGGGTCCTGCTCTGCGTCGGTTCCCCGGTGAAAGGGACGCTCAGGCCCCGAGGAAAGCGGAGGGTAGTTTCCTTTGCCTCCAGGGAAACGCAGGCTGAGCGTCTCCAAGGCTGCGGACCGCACGTCGCGTAGAAGCAAAGGGCAAACTGGCAGGAAAGGGCGGGGGGACCCCGTGGCTCTCCCCGTTTGAATAAGTTGGGCAGCTCCAAAGGAGCGCGTCTGGAGGGCGTGCGCGGCAGAGTTCTGGCTACTCCATCCCTCCCACGCGCCTTCCCAGAAACGTCCGCTCCTTGGCTCCCGTCAGCTTTCCCAGTTCTCCCGCGGAAGCTTCCCCGTTCCCCTGGCAACCGAGCTGCCGCCAATTGCAGCCAAGGATGGGCGGTCACGTGGTGCCGGCCGCGTCTCTCGGGAGGAAACATGGCGGCCCCGGTAGCTGCAAGATTTGAATTACGCTAGTCTGAGCTGCTGCAACGCTGCTGCAGCCCTGCTGCAGCCCTGCCGATGGCGTCTTCCGCTTTGTGCAGTTCTCAGAGTCCGGAGGGGCCCCTTGGAGACCCCGCTGGGCAAGAAGAAGATGAAGATTGTGATCCTGAAGATAGGGCCAGCGACTGGGGTTCATACTCGTCTGGGAGTAGCGATTACGAGTAAGGTTCTCCGAGGGCCGATTGCACGCATCCCTTCAGTCCTGGGAGTGTGCACGGGGGCCGGGGGACTGCAGGGAGCTGGCTGCTTGGGATTGCGTGACCTTCAGTGGCAGCGGGTTTCAACCTTTTTCATGTGGCACATAAACTAATTACTAAAATTCTGTGACACACCAAAAAAAGGCACTTTCTGCTTATCTGACAAAAAAAAAAAAAGGTATAATTTTGATTCATTCACACCGGACGTCTATCCTTGTGTTGGCTGTTGTCATTTTTTTTTTTTGAATTTGACAATCTAAGGGGAAAGGGTCAGTGCCCTGACTAAATAGAAATAGTCAGGTATTGCATGTTTTGAAAATTTGTGAGGCACACTGGTTGAAAATCGCTGCTGTAATGGACTGCCAAATATGGTCAGTTTTAGGATTACATTTTATGTGTATTTAGGAGTAACAGTTACTTGACAATTATTTTCACCTATAGGTATGCAGAACACTTTTTATCATTGTCTTAGAAGCATGGAGGAAAACCATCACTAATGGCTGCTTAATATACTCTTAGAGGCTTAATGAGGACAGATTACATTCGTGAAGACTTGAACAAATTTAAGAATATCACATATTTTGCATACTCTTCTGCCATGGTCATTTAAACACTAATGAGAAAATTTATGGTTATTAGCCGAGGCTGCTGGAAGGAAGTATGGACTGTGTGGAACCCATTTGGTCTTGGTATGGAAGCCACACAGTGTGAGACTCAAACTCTTGGCTTGTCTACACCTTAAAATCACAGTTTTATCCCAGAGAGAATCTGTAATTTGCTCATAGCCATACAGCTGTGAGTTGTTAGTGTAGGAATTTAGGAGACCTTATTTCAAATGGGGCACCCTGATTTTGGTGGAATGAAGATAAATGAGCTAACCCTGTTTCCTAGGAAATGAGCAATCTGAGGACTTCGTGTTAGGAAATCTCTTTTTTTTTTTGTCATCCTCACCCGAGGACATTTTTCCATTTTTTGTTCAGATAGAGCGGGAGGGAGAGAGAGGAAGAGAGAGAGAGAGAGAAACATTGATGTGAAAGGGACACATCAAGTGGTCGCCACCCGCACAACCAACCAGGGCCGGGGACAAACTGCAACCGAGGTACGCGCCCTTAGCGGGAACCGAACCAGGGTCCCTCCGGACCACAGGCCGATGCTCTAACCGCTGAGCAAAACCGGCCAGGGCTAGGAAATCTCTTTACTTGAAAGCATTTTGCAATTCAGAATACATGTATCTGTGTGTTATATTTTAAATTTTAAGAACATGGTTGTTAAGCTTTCTATATGTCATTCAGTGATCACTCCCATGTTCCAGCATCTTTATCCTCCAGTGTCTTTATCGTAAAAGGACAGTAAACCTCTGTTGTGAAATGTTTTACTGGCCTATGTTTTGAGTCCAACCAAAATTCAGACTTCATGGCTGGCCCTTCTTGGTGTGTAGGATGTGAGAGAGTTGATTTGCTGGCCTGACCAGGTAGGCAGTTCTGTCTTTCGTTGTGGCAGTAGGTATTTATCTCCCTAAGCTGCAGAGTCACCATTGTAAGAGGGATGTGAACTTACTCTTTCTCATCAAAGCCAAGAGAGGTGAATTGTCTATTGTCTTTCATTGCCTAGATGAAGGTTATTAAAAAAGTTATGCTGCTTATTGATTCACATAAAGTATCCTGAACTTTCAAGGTTCTAGTTAGTTAATTGTTTGCATATTCTTTCTGGAAATTATCATTGTTCCATATGTAATGGAAAACCAGTTTGAGCTGCATGAGACTGTCAATACAAAATCATTCAGTTTTATCATTTTTTAAATAAAAATTACTTTTGGGTACATTCTGGTGAAGTACTTTTAATAGATATGACATGTAAGAGGGAATTTTAGATTATTGCAGTATATCTTATCCTGGCGCATTGGCAAGTCCCTGGGGAAGCTTCTGTGGTAATTCTGGTGGGCGGGCTGGGTTGAGGGAACCAGTGCCTAGTTGCAGTATTGAAATAACAAAAATCATACATTGACTTGCAATGCCACATTGCTTTGCTTTGGTTTACAATTATCTGACTCATTGAAGTAACATTGGTTAGTTCATTTTGGCCAAAGTTATCCATTTTATGAGGTAGATCTTTGATTTTTCAAAGTGATAGTTTGTTATTGTTAGGTTTAAAACCGTGGCTGACCGAGAAAGAGGGATACTTCTTAAAGGGAATTTAGCTATGAAAAGATAAGGAACTTCCACTGAAAATAAGAAGAGCGTCTGGAGGCTGGCCGGTGTGGCTCAGTTGATTGGAGTGCCATCTCATGTACCAGAAGGTTGTGGGTTTGTTTCCCGGTTAGGGCACATACCTTATACCAAAAGGTTGCAGGTTTGATTGCTGGTCAGGGCTCAGATGAAAGGCAGCCAATCGATGTTCTCTTCCTTGTCTCTCACCCTTTCCTTCTCTCTAAAATCAACAAGCATATTCTTGGGTAAGGATTACAATTTTTTAAAAAAGAATGGAGAAGAAGGGAAATATGTCCTTCAAATTTTAAGGGATTTTTAACAGCTTTATTGAAGTATAATTAACATACAATAAACTACGCATATTTAAAGTGTACAGTTTGATAAATTTTTATGTGTATACATCTGTCAAGATAATGAACATATTAATTTATCCAAAGTTTCCCCATGTGACACCCTGCTCCAGATCCCGCCCCCCCTCACAGCATTGTTGTCTCCATTGGTTATGCATACATGCATGTTAAGTTCTTTGGTTTATGTCTTTCCTCCTCCCCACACCCCTCCTCTGAAGTTTGTCAGTCTGAACCCTCCTTCTATGTCTCTGGGTCTAGTTTGTTCATCAGCTTATTTCATTCATTATATTCCAAAAATAAGTGAGATCATGTTGTATTTGTCTTTCTCTGATTGGCTTATTTCGCTTAGGGTAATACTTTCCAGGTCCTTCCATGTCGTCTCAAAGGATAAGAGATCTTTTTTTCTTACAGGTACATAGTGTTCCATTGTGTATACATACCACAGCTTTTTTATCCACTCATCTATCATTGGACACTTGGGCTGTTTTCAGATCTTAGCTATTGTAAATAGTGCTGCTATGAACATAGGGGTACATATATTCTTTCTGATTGGTGTTTCAGGCTTCTTAGGATATATTCCTAGAAGTGCGATCACTGGGTCAAATGGCAGTTCCATTTTTAATTTTTTGAGGTAACACCATATTGTTTCCATAGTGGCTGCACCAGTCTGCATTCCCACCAGCAGTGTACTAGAGTCCCCTTTTCTCCACACCCTCGCCAGTGCTTCTTGTTTGATGATTTGTTGATGGCAGCCATTCTGGAAGGTCACACCGGTACTTTTATATGCTTTGTTCTCTTTGTTTAAAACCCCCTTTCTTCCTCTCTCTACTTGCCAAAATCATTCTGGGTCTCACTAAGTGCCGCCTTCTCCTAGAACCTTTTTTGATCCCTCTTAGACTTAATTTCCCCAAACTCTACCCTTCTCTAGAAGATTTTACTCCTTGCCTTTGGCACCTGCATTTCAGTGAGGTGGTGAGCTCTTTGTCCCTCTGACATCTTTCAAGTACAGTAAAGCTCTATCATGGAATGTTTTGCTGGTCTGTGATTTCGATTCTGCCAGGGTTGGATCGTATCCCTATCTCAGTGATGTGTAGACATGCCCTGTTTAGCTGAAGGGTTGGGGGTGGGTGGTGGGGTTCTGGGCACAGCATCATTATGAGCATAGTTCCAATGGAGATGTATTCCTGATGTAAAAATGTAATTCAATTTCTCCCTCTCCCCCTCCCTACCTTCCACTCTCTCTAAATATCACTGGAAAAAGTATCTTTGAGTGAGGATTGATAACAAGAACAAAAAAGTATTTCAAGCAGTGAGGACACAGTTAGTTGTCTGGCTGATTCTTTCCTCTTCTCTGACAAGCTGTGCATTTGTTCCAGTGGTTGCTAAACTAGAAGGAGCATCAGCCCCTCCTAGGTCCCTACCCTCTGATACTGCTAACATATGTAGCATAGATTTTAACCTCTAAATCATGGTTTTCTTTTAGAAAACAATCAAGAGACCTCGTGGATGAAAATTAGGTATTGCTGGTAGGCAGAACACAGAAAAGCTTTAGGCAGACTGATATTCACTGACTGAGCACCAGACAGAACCCCTATTAATTTTCCCAGTGTTTTTATTGTATGTGGTTTTCTCTGTCTCTAGAATCATCCTGCTGCACCCTTAGCGCCTTGTAACTCTGTGTGTTGGCCACTTTGGTAAAACACGTTGTGCTTTGCCCACTAAAAAGAAAAAAGAAAGTATAATGTACCAGGTTTGTAGTAGTCAGAAAAATCTGTTTTTCTTAAGGAAATGTACCAGGAGGGTTGGCTCTTTTATAACATTTTTAATTGATGAAAAATGCTGGCATTAATGCAAATACACCTGAGAGATGTGATAGCTTAGAAGCAGAAGGAAAAAGAAATTTAGTATCAGTGTAGAATTCTTGAATACATCAGGAATTGAGAAGGTATTAGCATTATCTGAAGTTCATTTCCTTTAACATGTTTATATTATAGCCTGTGTACATGCACTTGCCCATGTGCCGAAAAGCAGGTCTTTTTTTGGAAAGCATTCTGTTCACGTTTGTCACATCAATTAGGGCCTAAAGTGCCGTCACACTTGGAGCAGACTATAACCATACAGTTTTCTGTTTAGAGCAAAATAGACTAAACAAAATACTCTCATTGAGAGACACACAATGACAACTTTGCACCAGCGAGTCTCAGAAGAGAGACGAAAGAATATTTATGTCAATACTGATCAATGTGACTGTGTATTACAAAAATCTGAAATAAAACAGTAAGCTTTAATTCCTTTTTAAAAGTAAACCTTTTATTTTGGAATAAGTCGAGGTTTGCAGCAAAGTTGCGGAGACAGTGCAGGGTTCCTGGATGTCCGTCCGCGGGTTTCCCCGGTGCCGGTCACGTCTCACACAGCTACCGCAGTTGCTCAGCACTAAGAAAGTAACACTGATACTGAACTATTAAGTAAACTCCAGACTGTTTTCAGATTTCACCATTCCTCTATTCATGTCCTTTTTCTGTTCCAGGATCTAACCCCGGATGTCCTGCTGCATTTAGTCGGCAGATCTCCTTAGTGTGCTGGGGTCTGTAACAGTGCTCGGTCCTTCCTCGTTTCTCATAACCTCCATCTCTTGCTCGAGGTCCTGTCAGCCAGGTTTCTTCGCTGTGGTTACTGTTTTTAACTTCCCACACTCTGGGCTTTGGAAGCACAGCCCCAAGGCCAGGCCACACGCAAGGGGAGGGAAGATTAAGCTCCATCTCCGGGAGTGGGCAGTGTCAACACAGAACCAGAGTCTTTGTGTCTCTCGGTTCGTTTTGTTTTCACTGTAGGCGGCTCCTTTTGCAGAGTCTCTTACAGTCATTTCCTGTCTTTACTTTTGTCTCTCCCATCTCCCTTCTTGTAATTTTTCTTTTTTAAAAATGTCGTCTTCTTAAAGTGAAGTTTTTTTGTTTTGTTTTTTTATCTAAAGGTTAAGAAAATGGACTTCACTCATTGCTGCTGGACGTGTGAATTAGTATTGTCTTTTGGGTAAAGATCTGTATATATATACGTGTAAAGATGGTTAGTGTGTTGTTGTTCATGGAGGGGGAACAGCAACAACAAAACACAAAGCTTATCAGTAGGTGAATAACCAAATGTGTTATATCTCTGATATGGACAGTTGATGCAGCCATGAGGGGTTTCTAAATTGTATTGTTAATTGACAAATTACAAAGATATATAGATATAGATATAGATATATAGAAATACATATAGATACACAGGTATATAGATACACACATTCCACTTTTTAAAACAAATGACAAAAAAACCCTATGTGGATTTTTCTTTTTTCCTTTTTGTTAATCCTCACCTGAGGAGATTTCCCCATTGATTTTTAGATAGAGTGGAAGGGAGGGAGGGAGAAGGAGAGAGAGAGAGAATCACCCACCTGACCCCGACCCAGGCCGGGGATTGAACCTGCAAACCAGGTATGTGCCCTTGACTGGGAATTGAACCCATGACCCTTTGGCCCATGGGCCAGTGCTCTAACTGCTGAGCCAGACTGGCCAGGGCAACCCTGTGTGTTTTTATATGATTAGAAGAACATAGATTTTTAACACTTTATGTCAGTGAAAGGTAAGAAGGGCAGATGACATGTATTGTAATTATGTCCCCATTTGTGTAGAATGCGTCTATGCCTATGTATTCATGAAAGTGTAGTCAGCAACTAGAAATCTAGTCAGTATTCATCCTCTCGTCTACTCAGTCTTATAGTCCTGGTGATTTCAATCATTCTTAAATGTTTCTCCTATTTTCCATTTTTTCTACCATGGTCTTCATTATCATCTCTGCCTAGATGACGGAAAAGCCCTACTGGGTTTCTTGTCTTGAGTCTTGTCCACCTTGGATCCTTCTTCTGTCTTCTTGTCAAAGTACACCTATCCAAGGATGCCTGGCATGGAAACTCATCCATGGCCTGCGCTATAAAACCCCAAACCTCTGCCATGGTCCAGGGCCTCGCAAGGTTGGGCCTTGATTGTTCCTGTCACTCCCCACTTCAGGAATTCAGCTCTGGCCACCACAGACCAGTTTAAACTGCCCACGCAGTCCATGCAGACTATTGCTCAAGGCCTTTGCTTACACTGTTGCTTCTTTTTGGAATTCTCATCTCTTCTCCTACAGCTCTCCAGGCTCCCTCCCTGAGCACGTATTCTTTTTTTTTCTTTTTAAATTAATTTATTTACTTTTGTTACAGATGTTTCCTCCCCCCCAGATTCCCCCCTCCCCCTCCCTCCCCGCCCTGTCCCCAGCTTTGTTGTCCATGTCCATTGTTCATGCACACATACATATAAGTTCTGTGGTTTATCTCTTCCCCTCCCACCCCCTCTTCTGGGGATTGTCAGTCTGTACCCCACTTCCACGTCTCTGGGACTAGCCCGTTCCTCAGACTGTTATGTTCATTATATTCCACAAATAAGTGAGATCATGTGATATTTGTCTTTCTCTGCTTGGCTTGTTTCACTTAGGATGATACTTTCTAGGTCCCTCCATGTCATCTCAAAGGATAAGAGATCTTTCTTTCTTATAGCTGCATAGTACTCCATTGTGTATATGTACCACAGCTTTTTTATCCATTCGTCTACTGATGGACATTTGGGCTGTTTCCAGATCTTAGCTATTGTAAATAGTGCTGCTACGAACATGGGAGTACATATATTCTTTCTGATTGGTGTTTCAGGCTTCTTAGAGTATATTCCCAGAAGTGGGATCACTGGGTCAAATGGCAGTTCCATTTTTAATTTTTTGAGGTAACACCATAATGTTTTCCATAGTGGCTGCACCGGTCTGCATTCCCACCAGCAGTGTACTAGAGTCCCCTTTGCTCCACACCCTCGCCAACACTTATTGTTTGATGATTTGTTGATGGTGGCCATTCTGACAGGTGTGAGGTGATACCTCATTGTTGTTTTAATTTGCATCTCTCTGATGATTAGTGATGTTGAGCATTTCTTCATATGTCTCTTAGCCATTTGTATATCCTGTTTGGAGAGGTGTCTATTTAGTTCCTCTGCCCATTTTTTTAATAGGGTTCTTTTTCTTTGGTTGAGTTGTATGAGCACTCTATATATATTGGAAATTAACCCCTTATCTGATATATCATTGGCAATGATGCTCTCCCATACAGTGGGTTGCCTTTTCATTTTGTTGATTGTATCTTTTGCTGTACAGAAGCTTTTGAGTTTGATGTAGTCCCATGTGTTCATTGTCTCCTTTGTTTCTGTTGCCTTAGGTGATGTATCACGTATTCTTTTAAAATTCACTTCTTGGGTCTCATCTACCAGGAAGTCCTCCCTGACCTCACTCTCAAACCATGGCTAAGCTTGATGACCCCTCTCTATTATATTACCATGTGTATTGTCATGAATTCTTTCTCAGTTCCTCTTCCCCACTACTCAAGGGAAGGAACTGGTGTTTTCATTCTGGTATTTTTAGATTTTCCACAGTGCCTAGAACTGTTTATTTGCTTCGAAAGTGAATGCCACCCCCAGAGCTTCCCACCCACCCTACACACACCTGCATGGCTCTTTAAATCATAACCCAAAAGTGGTTCCACATTTAGATTTTAGGGAATAAGATATACCATCTTCATGTTTAATGGGGGTGAGATTTGAGATTATAAGACAAATAAATTCATTCACTGTTTAAATTGATATGTGTCTTCATAAGTAATTGTATAATCGTGGTATTTACATTTTACATTTTAAGTTATGGTAGCGTTACCTACATTGTTTATGGTGGGGACACGGTTCTTTAGATTCTCCCTTTCGGGTGGGACTGCGGTTATGAAGTACTATTTCTGTGGGTACAGGTAGGGAGGGGTGAAATAGCTAATACGTGATAAATAACCTGCAGTGAGTGATGCTAAGTGTTTAAAATGATGCCACATACCAGGAACCAACAAGTGCCAACAAAATACTAGTTTTGATATTTGGGGCTAGTTATGCCCTTTTTCACCTTTCATATATAGTTACAATTCTGTGTTAATAACCAGCCACAGACCAAGGCAATGGTTAGTTTCAGAGTTGAGTAATAGAAAAGTGCATTTTTAAAATGGATTTTCACAGTATTTAGAAAGAGACTTTTAACTTAAAAGTACGGGAGTTGCTAATATTGCAAAAAACCAAACTGTCTTCTATCTGATTGAATGATTAGGACACAAATTATACCCTTCCATGCCAGGATATTACAACTCATGTTTCTAGAATAAGTCTCCACTAGTTAGTTTTCCACTGTAACCAGTTTTGCTTTAAAGAATAGCAGTTTTAAAGGTAAATGTTCATAACATTGAACAGGGTAGAGCTTGTGGTTAGGCATGTTACCTTAAGATGAGTATTTTTGTTTTTTAAGGCTGTTTCAGTTCTTTCTAATAGCAGTAACTTTGTTTCTTTCAATGGCCTACTTCCCGGTTAAAAATTTCTGTACAATCACATGATGAATTATGTAATATGTGGTTTACTTTTCCTACTACAATTATTCATAAAAAGGAGTTTTGCAGAAATTATAGGCCATAGAAGTGATCGTTATTAACTATGATTATAAACTGGTTGTTTTCAGCAGTGATTTTTATTCACAGTGAAAGGAATGTTTCTTTTTGGAAAATTTATTATATAAACAAAGTCTAGTAATACTGGTCTTTAGCTTTCATTTTAACATGACAGCCATGCTGAAAAATTGCTATGCAAATAGGATATTTTTATGTACAGTTTCCAAATGGCTTACATCTATGGATATAATTGTACAATCAACTACTAATGTAAATTGTTGTCCAGTGAAATTGTCTCATGTGAACAATAACCACACGACCTGAACAAAATTTCTTTTAAAAAACAAAAACAAAAAAAAACCTTAGACTCTAAAAGGAGACCATCTCAGTTTTTGTTTTCTTTTCAATTATTATGCCTTTTGGATTTTTTCTCCTCTAACCCCTGTTCTTCAGTGCTCTACAAAAAACATCATCAAGAAAAAAACTGTTGGTATTCATAATAAATTAGAAATAGTAAGAGGATTCTAATCAAAGAACTTCTCCATCTTTCACCTGTCCCCTACCTACCCCCACCATCACCCCCGTGCCAGAAAGGCATAACTGTCTTTCTTATGTTCGACTGCTTTTCAGATTTTTTTTTCCCCGTAGTGACCTTGAGCCTGAATGGCTGGACAGTGTGCAGAAAAATGGAGAGCTGTTTTATCTGGAACTGAGCGAAGGTGAAGAAGAAAGCCTCCTTCCTGAGACACCTGTTGTGAACCGTGTCAGGTTCAGTGAAAATGAGATTATTATTGAAGAGGATGATTACAAAGGAGGAAGAAAGTATGAACCCAAACTCAAGAGGTTTACCAAAATTTTAAAAAGTAAAAGACTTTTGCCCAAGCGCTATAATAAAAAAAATAGCAACGACAGTGGGCCAGTCTCCATTCTAAAGCATCAGTCCAATCAGAAAACGGGAGTCATTGTCCAGCAGAGATACAAAGACGTGAACGTCTATGTAAACCCAAAGAAGCTAACTGTCACCAAGGCCAAAGAGCATCTCAAGCTTCTGGAAGTCCTGGTTGGGATCATCCATCAGACCAAGTGGAGCTGGAGGAGAACCGGAAAGCAGGCCGGCGGAGAGAAGCTGGTGGTCCACGGCCTGCTGCCAGGGGGATCGGCCATGAAGAGCGGTCGGGTTTTCATCGGTGAGTGCTGTTGCTGAATACCAGCCCTTGTTTGCTGAGACATGTGATTAATGGTGTCTTGTGATTAATGGTGTCTTGTGAGAAATGTGATCAAAACAGAATCACAGCCAGGGTCTCATTGGTTAAGGCCTCCTTGACGATACTTGGGATAAGAGTGAAATTGTTTTAAGGTGGTGTACGGCCAGGCTGGCACCGTATTCTGAAAAGAAATATTTTAGTGCCTCGAATATGTGTGTGTGCCTTGCTTAGGCCAGGGAACAGCGTAACTGATTTGTGAGTTTGGGATAATGTAATTTTATATCATCTGGGCTGTATTTGCTGACAAGTAAAAGAAAAGTCGATTGTACAGTGATAATTTAGGGTTGAATGACGTATGTCCAATAAATAACATGATACAAAAATACATAATTTGTGAATAAAAGTACTTTAAAATTGTATGTTTGCACTTGAATGCACTAAGGTTTTGGAGTGGTTTTAACTATTTTATTTGGCATGTTTGGCAACAGCGGTGTTATACATAAATTTCCTTTTAAGGGTGTTTGCCGTAAATTACCCACCAATTTTGAGGGAAAAAATAAATCCACAAGTTATTCTGAATATATATTAAGATGAGCATTTTGTGTTACTGCTATATTTTAAGCTGCTGTAGATAATGTTGGAGTTAGTAGTAGCTTTATTACTTAAAGATAAGTTAGACAAATGTGAGAATATATTGTTAGTAAAACTTAAAGGTATTAACAGTGCTAAAAGCTGACGGTCTTAAGTTGATCTAGCCTAAGAGATTTAAATAAAGGAACTTTTATTGCTACTTTAGAAACATTTAAAAAGTATTTTATTTTGTATAAATTTGACTTGTTCACTGATTCAACAAATATTTATTTGAGCATCTAAGTGCCAGGCGTACAAAGGTTACCGATCCAGCTACTCCTCTTACGGAGCTCACACTGCAGTGGAGGAGACAGGTCAGAGCTAGGCTGCCAGTGTCGCACCGTGTGGTAAGTGCCGTGGTAGGGGGCAGGGAGGACTGGGGCAGGAAGGGCAGCTGTGCCAAGTGTGTGTTCCAAAGGGTTGCCACAGATCCCCACATTCTCCTCGTACAGTGTCATGCTGACCCTCGTCCCATAGAGAGTTACGGCCTGTGTGTCTCTCCCCACCCAGCCCTCTGAATCTGGGTGGGCTGACGACGGCCGTTTAAGTGGTACTGTGTGACTGACTTGTACTTGGGACTCACCTAAGAGATGAGATCATAAAAGAAAAGGTGATGCACTTCTGCCTGGTATTCCTGGAACCTATTGCCATTTTGTGAGGAAGGCCAGGCCACATGAAAATGCCATCGGACCAGCTCTGCTGATGGCACCAGCCACCCACAGCATCAGCCGCCAGACGTGGCGAAGAAGCCTTTCAGATAACTCCAGCCCCAGCCACCATCTGGCTACAACTGCATGAGGAGCCCTGAGTGAGGACCTCAGCTGAGCCCCGCTCACCCCAGCTCCGGGAGAGACAATAAGTGCTGGTTATTTATTTCATTTTGTTATTGAGCTATATTGACATATGACATTATATTAGTTTCAGATGTACAACATAACGATTCGACATTTGTACATATTGTGAAGTGATGACCTTAGTAAGTCTAGTTAACATCCCTCACCACACAAAGTTAAAAATGATGGTTAGTTCAAGCTCCTGAGTTTTGAGGGTGATTCATGATGCAGTGATAGGTAACCAGCACAGAAGCCAAAGCATACTTACATTCTCTCAGATCCTCAACTTTCTTTTTGTAAAATGAAAAGTTGGACTAAAATTTCTCTAAGGTTTGTTCTGTTAGTTCTGTCAAAGGAGGCCAGGATTCCTGCTTGTGAAACCCTGCCTGGTTGTTGCTGACCCCATAATTTTAGGATGGGAAATTCTAGCTAATGCATTCTCTTTGTACAACCCTCCCTATCCGTGGGTTCCATGTCTGCAGATTCATCCAACCTCTCATGGGAAATATTCTAAAGAAAATTCTTCCTTTGTTTCTGACGTGTACTATGTATTTAGCCTATGATGGCTGTATCTGTACTGAACATGTAGAGACTTTTTTCTTGTCGTCACTCCCGAATTAATATAGTATAGGACTATTTACGTAGCATTTACATATTAGGTATTATAAGTAATCTGTCGATGCTTTACAGTGTATGGGGTGAGGTGTGTAGGTTTGTGCAAATTCTGTGGCATTTATCTGAGGGACTTGAGCATCTGCAGATGTTGGGTTCTGCAGGGGTCCTGGAACCAGTCATCTGTGGATACTGAAGGACAAGTGTAGTTAACGTGGGGCTACTGCTCTGAATACCTGTTGTACACTTCGTGCATGTATTTTTTTTTATCCTCACCCGAGGACATTTTATCTTTAGATAGAGCAGAAGGGAGAGAGGGAGGAAGAGAGAGAGAAACATCAATGTGAAAGGGACACATCGAGTGGCTGCCACCCACACGACCAACCAGGGCCGGGGACAAACTGCAACCGAGGTACGTGCCCTTAGTGGGAACTGAACCCGGGACTTTTTGGTTTGTGGGCTGACGCTCCAACAGCTGAGCCAAACCAGCCAGGGTGCTGCATATGTTTTAAGTAGCAATAAAACACTAGAAAAATGAGGCTCATGAATTCATTTTTATGATGGAAAAGCTTATGATATACTAATAAGTAAAAAAAAAAAAAAAAAAAGATTTGTCAGAAACAATATACTAATAAGTAAAAAAATATATATTTGTCAGAATAAAATGACTATTTCATCCTTGGTGTATAGCGAAATGCCTCAAAACAAGCCCTGAAAAACATTTGTTGGGTGAATGGATAAACTATGTCGAAAGAATATGTACAGGAAAAACAATTAGAAGTCATTATAAACACAACAAATTGCTAATAGTGTTGGGTTGGTGTAGGAACAGTATAGGTGATTGTTTTCTCTACTTTTCCAAAACATTTTTGTTATGATTATGTTCTGTATTTTAAAAATTATATGTTTTAGGAATAAAGAAGAGACTATGTTATTGTCAGAGGGTTTGCTAATCGCACAAGGCGCTCCTGTGACGGAAGTTTCTCCTGGTTGCCTTTCACGCTGCCATCTGTGGCTGAGCTGTGAGGTCACCCACAGGCAGGGGGACCATGAGCACTGTCCTGGTAATGCACTTGCTGGCGTGTCTGCTGCCTTGGCAGCGAAGAGTGGTCCTCCTTTGACTCAAGTGCCTCGGCCGGCCGGCACGGCGAGCTGGTGACCTCCTTCTTGCCTTTCAGACAGCGGATCTCTATCCTATTCTGAGTTTTCTTTGCCGGGATCTTGGGAGTTTTGCTGCTTTATTTTGGTGCCATTTTACTGTTCTTCTGCCAAGAACTTGCATTTTAATTTTTTATATTTCTATTCCTGAGTTTTTCAAGTTTGATAGTCAGCTGATAATTCCCAGACTCCTATAGCCAGCCCCGCCCTCAGACCAGAGCAAGTGGAAGTCCTCCTTGTACTTACGTCTTAGAAACTGCATGTTACCCTGGTGATTTCTTAAGGCTTGGGTTACAGAAATGACACGTTAATGCTCCAGGCATGCAGACTGTTCTTGCTAATCAGTAAAACAAAGTTTTTGTTTCACACTCTTTTTGTGTTAACGTCTAATGTCCCCACCTGTGATCACTGAGTAAATTTGTTTTGTGTGACACACCTTTACTATGTTTCTCTTCGGTTTTGGGGGGTTTACTTTTTAAAAATATTTTTAATTAAGGTATAACATACATTCAAAACATGTACAAATCTTGTGTGTGGTTGATGCATTTTGACATGTGTATATACCTGTGTAACTGCCACCAGGTCAAGATACGGAACAGTTCCAGAAAGCTCGTGGTGGTCCGCCCAGTCCACTCCCCCTCCCCCAAATCTAAAGTCACAAGTTTTCTATCAACAGTTGATTTTGCCTCTTCTTGAACTTCTTATAAATGGAAGCATGTAATGCATATTTGCTTGTATCTGGTTTCTTTAGTTTATAATCTATGATAAATATTCATTTTGTCACTATGTAGCATTCCATTGTATTAAAATATACACTATTTGTTTTTCCATTCTACTGTTCATGGATGTTTTGGTTGTTTCCAGTTAAAATATTTGAAGTGGGTTTTTGTTTTTTTTTTTAAATATGTTTTTATTTATTTTAGAAAGGGGAAAGGATGGGGAAGGAGAGAGAGAGAGAAAACATCAGTGTGAGAAAGAAACATCTGTCTGTTGCATCCTGCACGCACCTCAGCTGGGGACCAAACCCACAACCTAGGCATGTGCCCTGACCAGGAATTGAACCCGAAACCTTTCAGTGCATGGAACAACACTCAATCAACCGAGTCACACTGGCCAGGACTTAAATGTATTTTTTTTAAAAGATAGATCTGGTTTTCATGAAGTCCTAAATATATGGTTTTATTCTCTAATAGTTTGCATGTTGTTATTCAGTGCACATATTTCTTTTTTCTGTAATACTTGTAACATTTCGATTTTCTTAATGAAAATAACTCTACTGTGTTTGTCTGTCTTTCCTCTCTCACATCATTTCTTTCCCACATTTCTACCTGTAGTACTTTACCCAGTAGTGAAGGAAAGAAACTGAGGCTGTGAGTTCATTGGCAAGGCAGAATTTTAGGGTTTAAAGGCCTTTCTCTAGAGCTGGTGTAGTTATTTCCTTCTACAGATGAGCGCCAAAGGGACTAGACGGTTCCCCCAGGAACAGAGCCAGGCAGCGATAAAGCCGGTGCCCACGGGCTCTGGTTTCCATTCACAGGCCTCTCACTTGTTACGGCCCCTTTGAATGGGCCAGGGGAGTGGCAAAGCATTCCTGTTTGAAGCCAAAAAAATACATATATATGAATAAAATCTTTTCAAAATATAATTTAGAAATAATATTAAGCCACAACAATATACCATTTAACCCAATTAGTCCATTTTGAGACATTTACCCTAAAGAAATAATCTAAAACAGACCTGCAAACCACA